GTGGGGTAAGGTGTGGAAGAGTAGGCCAAAACACCCACTAGAGGGGCTCTATAGTGTTCCCTCTGGTGGAGGCCTTTCCACCAGCAGCAGTATGAGCAATACATTGCAGGGCTGCACGTTTACCTGTTAGTGTACATCAAGTATGGTATGTTTTTTTAACACAGATTACATTGTACATTGGAATCGATCAAACTATACATGGCCTTGGTGTTTTTTGGAAAGTTGCATTCTCAGAATGCAATCATGTGGAAAAGCATGCCATTAGTTGAAATGCTAAGATACAATTTTTACAGCACAAAGTGCTAGATTGCACAAAAGTACTCTATAACCTTTTCACTAATTTATTTATATTGCCTTGTGCAAATAAGCCAAGTAAGAGGCGAAAGCGAGTGTAAAAAAAATTCCTGCAATGTGTGCTGGCCTTTAGGATGCAAAGCACACGCAGTGAAAGTCATATACAGCATGTATGTACAGTCTACACTCAAAACAAATCAACAATCACCGAGGCCATAATTATGTGTCTTATATCAATTAAAGCACATTGCATTATGTATATTTACATTATCAATTAATACAAACAATGTAATTGCTGATTTACTGTGCTGAATATGATGTTGCGTCCGTCACTATTGAGATATACACGTGAAAGCAACTGGGCAAGAGGCGTTGCTAGAAGGGATACTAGCAGATGGTCAACAATGATGACGGAGTGGCAGCCAAGGAACGGAACGCATTCCCAAGAGGATGCACACCGAGGCGGTGGAGTGATAAAATCAGCTCGTGTGCAGGTGCTTGTGTGAATTATTACATTGTAGGATTGGTAGAGATGGCAACAGCTTAGCGAGGCCTTCATCCAGCAGTGAATTGACCAAGGCTGCTGCTGATGACAAATGAAATTTAACTATAAAAAAACGAAAATAAACGAGACTGTGCAAACTCCAAATATACACGTATGAGGGTCAGGATCGAACCTATGACCTTCTGCAAACCTGGTGAGGTAGCTAACATCTCGCCACAGTTGCTAGCCTCGAATGGGAATATGAATGAAGATATTGTTTTAGGTAATGCCGAGTATCTTGCATGCATTTGTATTTCTTGCCCAAGGAAAGCGAATCGGAAATGTCTTTGTTCCGAACTTCCACCAATCAGCTTGGGGTACCTCTAGACATACATGGGTATTGGAATGGACTATTTTCTGCTGAGAAAGCAGACAAGATATATTATGTCTGATATAAAACGGCCTTGAATATGAGCACGACTTGTGGTGCAATTGTATTTAAAATCGTCTTACTTGAGAATCACACAAATTGGGTCAAAGTTTACGTGAACGTTGCAGCATTTGCAATTTGTTACATGTTTCAAGTCCATTGACTAAACAAAATGGAGAGCAACAAAAAATAATGGCCTTGGTTGAAGGGTAAAAGTATACGATGGAATGGACCAGACGATAAATAGCCTTTGTATCTTCATGAAAGATGTATTTTCACTGGCATTAGGTGTAATTCAACCATGGACTGGAATCAAACTCGCATTGCCAGGCTCATGGCGCATTTCTGTAACCACTATAAGCGTTACATGCATTTAATTCATTTTCCAGAGTATGACATTTGTGTATATTTTTGCAAGATGCACTTCATATGTTTGAAATCATGAAATACTTTTTTTTTTTGGAGGGGGGGCGGGTATTCAAATTGTCATCATCGTTTGCCATGATCTAACCATGACTGGACTATATAAAAAAAAAATTCTGTGGTTTTCCCACCTGATGAAGATTGCTTGTGTTGCAATCGAAACGTCGGGATTTAATGTATTTTATTTTATACCTACGTGACTTTACTATGCTTTGTGATGCCACGGTACCACAAGTCCATCTTGTTCCACCAGTTGAGACAATCTCCTTACTCCATCTCCGTGGTTGTCTTCCTCTCTCAGGCATGTTGCCTCCTTTGGCTGACATTCTGTTAACACTCTCATTCATCAGTCATTGTTGCCTTCTCGTGATGTAGCCTGCCCAAGCCAGCTCTTGTTGATAGTCTCACATGGTGTAATTAATTTACGTGTGTTTCTCAATCTGATTCCAAACACGTGTCTTCATGCTTCTTTTGCATACTTCTCACATTATTTTTCACAATATTGTATCATACATTTCATATGCTTGAAAGAATGAACTGCAGCGCACGTATTATATTGGTATAAACAATGTCAAAAGGTAAAGCTGAGTAAAATATCGTGATTTTACTTGTTGAATAATTGAACACATTTCACTGGAATAACTTCACCCCAGATTTAGCAGTAATCCATATCACAAAGTTTTGAATTAATCACGCACCAATTAGTCATCTATGGAATAGTAGAGTCACACACATGACACAACGATTTAAACCAAAGAGCTATATTTCTAATTTTTATATAGCACACTGCCAAAGCTCCTGGGGGTTCCAAAATTAAGTTATTGGCTGGGAGGTTTGACAACCTTTTGAAAGGGAAATACATCAATATGTGACTTAATCACACTTTTATTGAATTTATGCTAATTTATCACGAATAACTGCAGTCATCATCTGGGAAGGGCAGAACATTTCTTGATCTAGTTATTAATATTCGCCTTGGCAAATTTTATTTTGTACATTTTACTCAGTAAAAATAAATGGCGAGAGAAAGTGTTATTTGCATTGCATATTTTGATTGTGAAACGTGTGCATAATTCTGTGTCGTTTTCAGTGCAGAATAAAACTTGAAACATTGCATTATTACTTTGTACACCATCCCATGGGCGTGTATACATCAGCTTCTTTTTGATGGCGAAGTTACGGTTGATATAATGTTAGTAGCCTTAACCAGGGAAATGAACATCTGCATAACAGTTACAAATAAATCCTCGAGAGTATTTTATTATGTCAATGATTACATTACCCCCCTGTCCCCTATTTATATTGCATGCTGCATTACATAACATCTCAGTTTATTAATGAAGCTTTTCGTGAGGGCTGTAGTAATGTGAGAAAATACTGTATGGGTTTTAGATCATTTCCGTTTAAATACTGCAAGTGTCCGTGCATAAAAAAATACGTATTAATAATTGAGTTTGGTACTTATATGTGTATGAAAACACTGATATGAATAATATTTGTTAGGAGTTCAAATATTCACATGGTTATTAAAATTATGTCAGTAATTGATACAAAAAACAACAACTTTATAAAGCACTCCTTGTGAAATGCACTTTGTAGATGCCTTTAACTCTCCATCAAAAATACTAAACACGTCCATCAATAACACTGTGGCCTTGAAAGCAGAAAAAATATATAATGGGTTACGTTTCGGGAAATGGTCCTCCTTCATACAAGAGACGCTAGCAGAGAAAAGAGACAGGAAATAGCGAACCTCAATTCGTCTTAAACATTGGAGGTTTCGCAGTTGTGGTCTTCAAAATTAACAAATTATTTGGTGACACCCGCGTTGGCAGTGGTGCAAAAGCACATCTAAACATAATTATCTATACATCAATTAATGGTGATATAAATGTGTTTTATGATACTCGTCATGAAAGTTATACGTAAATAAGTGCCACTTTCACTGACACGAAAAGTATTTGCGCTCTGATGGAGCGTTAGGTTAGGTATAATTCATGCTTGTTATTGTTTTGTTGACTGTACTGTATTAAAATATAGTTACCTGTTCACCATCCCCCATGAGCATAATGAAAGATAATGAAATATTATCACAACAGGCACACAGTGATAGTGCCCATATTAAAGTACTACCTGGACACTAATTAAATTATACGATTGAATAATTATGGTTATATAAGTTTATAACATTCATATAAAACAACATAACATTCACACTTTAATATAATAATTATTAGTATTCATTAAAGGTATCAATCTCGGAGTGTTCAACTGAAGTTCAAACATTGGATGCAAATTCACAAAATGAGTGAAACTGATGGCAATAATTGTTAAATAATTTATATTGACATTCATAAATACATTTAAATACAAAGTGAGCAATGCCGTATGCATGCTACTAGTGTGAGGTGCTCTCGGAGTACAGCTTTTGCTTGAATACATTTGTCGCTGTAGTGTGTGTGCGTTAGTGTGTAACTCACGTATATAGAACAGAACACGATTAATTATTAATTGTTTGGGTTAGGCTGTGTGGTTGTAATTTCAATTAGAACCATACCCGGCCACCACCCTACACAGCCAAACAAATCAAGTTGCCACGTGGACAAATGTGCCAATTGATTTTGGTTTGACAATATTGTACGAAGTTTCACTTTAGATTACCACCAGCCTCATAAAGTATTTGCAAGACCTCGGGAAATACTGTTCTCTGTGCAATATATTCAATGTTGAATTGATGCGTATGGTTTGAAAATATTAAAAACTGCAAAATGTTCCAAAATGTAACGAGGACATCAGTGCACAAAGTGTAGCGTGGCTTACAATGAGTTAAGCAGCATGGCACTAGAGCTCATCTCAGAGGTGGATGTTTGGGATATAAATCCTGCTCTGGGATTGACTCAGTCCGTTACAATTTGTAGGTCAGTTAAAGAAGTCAAAGGAGAGAATGCCCAAGTTGCCACCCTCGACGTAGTGGTGAATTTAGCTCGTGTGCAGCAGCGATGATAGATTGCGATGATATGGGGAGGCCTTCATCCTGCAGTGGATTGGTCATGGATGTTGATGAAAATGTCGACTACATTGCGGAATCTTAATGTTAATTTGTCTGTAGGAATGTTGAATCTTTGTTATTGGCTCAAGGCTACACACAGATATCATTACCAACCTGGGCTTATTACCACCTGGATATTTTATCCATTTAGACTTTCAATTAAAATAGCATTCTGAGCGTCCTCTTCGCAATTTGTCTTGGAATTAATTCATCGTGTTTTTTTTACTACTCTCCTTATGAGATATTGCAAGCATGGACCAGGCTTCTGAAAAGCAGTTTTGTTCTAATTCTTTGAATGCTATCTTTTATTCATCCTTCAGTGACAACTCCGGCTCGCTGGAAATGGCTCGTATTGAGATGGTGGTGGAGAGCTTCAGCCTCGCCCCTGCGTTCCGTCGTTTACTCTGGCATCTCGAGTACCCGCAGGGAGGACCTGCCCCTTCCTTGGACCGCATCAACACGGAAATTGTCGTCAAGCAGAGCGATGCACAGGCACTCATCCCCCTCGCAATGGTGAGCATGGGTTGCAGGAACTGTTGGCAGAGTGACCTTCTTTTGTACGGTGTAAGTGGTTCAGCAATGTTCATGTGTTTTGGAGAGATGTTAACTTCCTCGCCTGGTATACAGGAGGTCGTGGGTTCGATTCCAACCCTGACATATGTTTATTTAGAGTTTGCATGTTCTCCCCGTGGTCACGTGGATTTTTCTCCAGGTCCTCAGGTGTTTCCTTGCACATTTAGAAACATGCATTCAGAGTATTTGTCTGCTATACATTTCCACATAATCCACTTAATTGAGCCATCATTTGGGGCAAGGTCCGTTCTGAAAAATAACTATTTAGGTTAGTGGGCCTTACCTGTTAAAATAAATATATATTTACTTGTTAAAATATCTTATCAGGATAATCCACTTAGGTGAAAAATCTTATTTGCAACCAAGTGTCAAGTGACACATTCATAGGAGATACGTAATGACAATTTTAAATACACAACGAAAAGATGTTCATGCTGTGGTTGGTGAGTGAGCCAGTGGGGATGGCTTCAGGGGAAGCCGCATGGTGAATATCTGAAATGCTGCCAGTGAATGGTCGAAGTGAGCAGCGGTGTTCCTACTCTGTGCCCTCAAACTGGACTCAACGTCGAGGCTCACTGCACATTGCTCTGTGTTAACCCTGAGAGCGTGAGTGACTTTGCTTGCAAGGAGGGTTCACAAAAACTCATGGTGGAGGGGCGTGGGGGAGGAGGGGAAGGGGGCCCCTTCTGGCACCCCTTGACACTGTGGCGCTGCTCTCTATATATTTGATTACTTTTAGTGACGTGATGATTGATCACGATTGTGCTTATAATAATAATGATGCCACTACTGCCAAAGCTGTGAACGGCATTGAACTATTAATTTATAGCCCATCCACATTCGAGGTGACTTCCTTGAGCAGTGCATTGTATTAACGATTAACCCATCCATCCCTGTGATGAATAATTGCGATTCAGCCATGTCTTTAGTTCGGAATAAAAATAAATGTTTAAATTATGGTGAATACTGCAGCCCCTATTTGTTTCAGGGGTCATGTAAACCCAGTGGACATGATTTACACGCATTGCAAAACAGTGATTATACCTACATATTACACGGTTAACCAACACATGCAATTATTTTTAATTCATTGCAGATCACTTTTTTTATATATATATTTCGATACATACAGAACTGTGAAGATTTTCTCTGTGCACTGCGATCCTAGTAACAACTTGTTTTAGTCACAGCATCATCGGGAATGGCTTTGAATTGTGTATTTAAGTAATTTCGCGTCATCACTACAGTTTCCCCTTTGATAGATGAGCGATATAACCTCAACTAAAACTATTTACATACATGCTTATACATAATCTGCATACATGGGTATATTTCACATCGAGGAACATTGAATGCTACGTGATAGACTGTGCAACGCTTTAATTGATGAAATTGCTCAGAAAGTAGAAGCTTTCTTTTGCTCATTTGGCTTCAAAAGAGACATCAGTGCCGAGTGCCACCCTCAGGCTGATATTACTACCCCAGACTGCCCATCTTACACTTTACAGCTATTGCCCGGAGATGCCTAGAGGAATGGAAATATCCTTCACTGACAGCCAATGGCAGAGCCAGGATTTTCAGGTGGGGGGGGGGGGCAACCCCTCCAGCAATGAAAAATGATAGAAGTTGTTAGTAAGTAAGGACTTGTCCCATGCTTTTTATTCGACTGCCATCGATCGAGGGTCGATTTCGAACCGCGTGTGGTCGGCATCGTGTACTGTATACGCAACTGCGCACAATTCTGAGTCACTTATAACTGCTTTGCCGTTAATTATTGCTAATTATGGACTCAGACTATTGTCCTATCATCTCATAGAGTCCCTGGCACGTAATAATATGCTACACAGTGGCAGTGGGGTTCGCAAAATGCTGATTTATTACTAATAAACCCCAATGATCCGATCGAAATTAGGGATTTTGATCGGATCATTGGGGGAGCACGTGCCACCCCACCCTCCACTGGCTCCGCCAGTGCTGACAGCACAGCCTACTTATTTGGGGGTGTCAATGGTACTGGGGTCCAGCGCTCAGCCAGCACTTTGTGATGCCGAGTGGAGATGAATCAGATATAGAAGAGGGCATGGATTTTGGTCTACATTGAAACAATCATGTTTTTGGGGGCACCCATTCTACGTGAGTGGTCGAGGAGTAGATTGCCACGTTATAAGTTGTTTTTAATAATACAGAGCTGTGTAGATGCAGCACTCGGAAACTTTCCATTACCTCTCTTGTGTTCCTTGGAGCGGACACCTGGGAGGAGGGCCTTACAACGAGAATGGCATTTCAAAAATAAATTGAAATTACTCAGATAGGCATCTCTTGAGAGTAAAAAAAACCTCTAGACTTTTTTTTAATATAAACACATCATAATTGTTTATTGATTTACTGAATCATTTTTCTATATTAGTTAAATCGACGATCCTATAATAGTATTAACTGTAAAGCACGTTTATTATTTCCAACGTCTAGTTTTGTGTTGTGATGATGTAAATCAGCAAAAGATATTGTGTAGATAATATACATTCTCAATGTTTTAAATAACCAAAGAAGCCAGCTGCACCTTACATTGGCTCATGCGTTGCTGCTATTAAATTGAATATTCGTACTACTAATAGCTGTGTTGTAATTTACAGCAGGCAAACATTTTATAATATGTTGCTGTTTGTCTTTTTTATTTCTTCAATAAGCCCTTTGCCACGTAATGTTATCCATTTGCTGCAGGTAATTAATTTGGCCTTGGCAAAAGCGTGTATACAATGGCTTGAGGATTGAAAAGTGTTTAATTAGATCTTTGAAATGCCACAGGCGAGCACGGTTCCTTATTTGTGTCTGCGACACGTTATTGTATAAGGTCTCAGTATTACAATTTTGCATCTCAGATTTGAATATCTAAGCATTTTACTTCACATTCCTCCTACGTGATGTTGCATTTAAAGATATCCTTGCATACACTAGTTACTTCCAGCCCTTTGTCAATCCAATGCTGGCTGTGTTTTTCATACTTCACCATGCCGGTTAGTGCGGGTTGGTGAAGAGTGGGGGGGGGGGCTATAACTACTCACCTCTGATTTTAGCCATGGCCAGGAACTCAGGTCCCTAAGTAAATAGTGCAGTGTGTGAACCAGTGTGCCACCGCTCAAACCCCTAATCGTGCAAACATTCGACGAAAATTACATTGTATCACGACATACAATTTGGAGGTATATTATGTCCACACATATATATTGTAAACGATAGCTCCTTCTTGGTTCTTTCGGTATAGCCACGTAGAAGGGAAGTAATAAAATAATAAAAATAAAACATAATAAAATACAATTCTCACGACGTTTCGGCCACAATGCAAGCAGCCGTCCTCAGGTGAAGAACAGGTCTGTCGGAAAGACATTCAGACCTGTTCTTCACCTGAGGACAGCTGCTTGCGTTGTGGCCGAAACGTCGTGAGAATTGTATTTTATTATGTTTTATTTTTATCATTTTATTTTTTCCCTTCTACGTGACTTTACCGAAAGAACCAAGAAGATGAATCCCTGCAGTCACGCAAACTTTAAATCGAAATTTAAACGATAACTATTTTCCACATTTAAGTGTAGAATGCAGAGAATATTTACTTATGTTTAGCTTTCATGTCTTGAGTTCGCCATGATTAGATATATTCAGTATCTAAGATGCACATCCAATTAGCACGGTTGACTCCATACGGTGCGAAATTAGGTCAACATACAGTACATAAGCTATTTTTTTAAATGCTAAAATCAGTTACCCAATGCATTTCAGTTATTTATTTTTGTTTCATTAACATCCACATGAACTTTATTGAGTATATAGACATTTTCAAGAGTTTTTATTTTATTTGGATGTTCACCCGTACCATCAATGATTGTTTAATATGTGGGAGGGTAATGACGTATCCGGAGAAAACCCATGTACATGAGGGGATAGCACTCAAAGCCTCACACTGATCGTTCTACCCGCAGACTGCTTCAAGTGAATGGACCAAAACACATTTGTGGATCACACCAATTGCTGTACTGCCGTCCCCTAGTTCATCATAGTCCTCGTAGTCATATGCCTATAACACCTGTTATGCACCAGAGGTCACCCATCCAAGTACGAATCAAGCTTAACCCTCCTTAGCTTCTGAGACCCAATGGTCGGTGTATTCAGAACAGTTGGGTCGTAACTGTCACCTTGAGATTCAATGTAAAGTATCTTGAAAGTAATTGTAAACTATTTTTATAATTACATTCTTCGCATAAACCTGTACCTAACTACACGTAATTAAAATAAATGTTAGCCAAGTCTTAACCACCATGAAAATAACTGTAAAATAAAAACATTAACTTTATAACAATCCACAAGTCAAGCCTCACTAACCATAAGGTTATTTCCACAGCAGGTTGGGTGCAGTGCATTAACCCGTTTAAACAGCATGTCTTATATATCTGCATGCCTCTTGTAATTCCATTAATGCATCGTTTAATTGCCCCTATGTTGTTACATTGTATCTATTTATAGAATTTCATCAAGAAGCACTTTTGGTGCAAAGCAGAATTAGAGCCAGTTTGATTTTTGGAAAATATTTGAATCTGATAAAATTATTTCACTTACTGTGTATAGATCAAAATGGCCTTCACCAGATTTAATCTTGATTGCCTGATCATGTCACTTGCAATCAAACCCAAGACCTTGTACTTCAAAATGGGGGGTGGGGGTGGGCTTACACTACAGTGGTGCTGCCCATTAGTCTTAGCTAAAAAAAAACTGCAAAAACAACGTTTGTTGGTCCAACATCTGAATGCCAAAAATATATATTTGCAAATTGCTCAATTGGGATTACACATAGTAAACAGCACCTCCAACTGTGAGAGCTTGGCAGAACCTTCCTGAAAAAGAGCCTTGAGACTCAGGCTTTCCTGGATATATAAGTATAATACTAATAA